TGAGAATATTTTATTTAAATTAGTAGTTTTACCAAGCAGCAATTTGCATTTATTTTATTTTCCCGTTTGTCTAATTTTAAGACAAATTGTTGGTTTAATAAAAACACAAATAAACAACAAGCAAAATGGTTTTCTATTTTGCTCCCATACTGTACCGAAAATGAACCAAACTATGACCTCAAAACCGAGGTACGTACCGAAACATGATTTTTGTGTACGGTTACAACCCTAATAATAACACTAATTAAATAATTTGATTTACTTGGAAATATCTAGTTCTTGGATTTGTCAGAGGTATTGCAAGTTGGTCCTAGTTTTGAACGTTATAGTCCTGTTTTAGACTGAGGTTAAATCTTGTACTAATATATATGTAATATACTTGGTACTTTCAGTATTCAGGCTGAATACTGCATAACAGATGACCTCAGATTCCCATTGTATAATTATTTTACACAACAACAACAACCATGTTTCTTTATGTAATCTTCTGTGTTGTCTGTGAATAGTTTTCGGTGGCGTTTTGTCTCCTTCTCATGTCTGGAGCTCCTTCTCGGTGCAAGCGTGGAGCGGTGAGAACTCCTACGCCCGTATGTGACTGTGAACACAGCGGAGGGTAGGGTTACACAAGGAGAGCCATTACACCAGCCAGCCTTAATTACTGCTAACTATAGTCGCTGTTTCACAAGAGGAGAGGGGGAGAGAGAAAGAGAAGGGGAGAGGAGAGAGACCAATGAGTATAATTAAAAAGTCTATTTGAAACCCTGATCAAGTTTGTCTAATGACTTACACTATGTTCTATTACTTATATCTCATTGTATTACATGTGAACAGCAAACACCAGAACGACATTTACAGACGTACGCAGCTGCCTTTAAAGTTCCGCTGTGTGTTCCACTGTGTGTTTGTTTCCATGGATATGTTCCACTGCATGACATTAAACAGCTCTACTTTACATTTATTATTTACAGGTGGTTTTATAGCTCAGAAATAACTAGAAAAACACATTCTGACTGTGAGTGGGGTTGCCTGTCCACAGATCTGACCTGTAACTTGGTCTGGTTTGGTCTCCATGAAGATTAAAAGGTTTAATATTATACTGTGAAACATTCCAGACAAAGCATGGAGAAAAGCATTTGACGGACCCTCTACCAGAAAAGTTACACAATAAACCTTTACTCTTAACTAGTACTATCAAAAATATTGCGTTATTAGCGAGTTAACGCAAAACTATTTTAACGGTGTTATTTATTTATTTCTATCTATCGCAAACTAGTTTTTTCATATGCCTGGGCAAATTTGCACAAAACTGAGAAGCCCTGTGAAGTGTGCTGATGTTATTTATGAGGAAAACATTAAATAAACTCCACTCGAAAACATACAGCGAATCGACACTTGCCTTTAATAAGGACTTTGACAGTGACTGAAGTTTTACAGCCTCTCTTCCAGCTGTTCTCACTTCTTCGAGCTGTTGTTATATCCATAAACTCACAGACAAGTACACATCGCAGCTGGACTCATATCACATCAGTCTCACTATTTAATAGATACTTCTGATACTGGACTTATTTTCTCCACTAAAAGCATTACTTCTGCCTTGCAACATGTAAACAAACAAACAGCGCCGTGTGATGACGTCATTGCTCTTAGTACAGCAGCGTTGGGACAGACAAACACGGTCGCAAACACAGCTGCAATAAAAACATTTCCATAAAGCAAGCCTATCCACTTTTCTATGCTATTAAGAGTATTAAAATGATTATTCATTTCATTTGTGATTAATCATGAGTTAACTATGACATTCATGAGATTAATTGCGATTAAATATTTTAATCGATTGACAGCACTACTCATCTGATTTTTGGCCTTAACAAAGCTAGAAACAGATCTGAGTAGATGAATTGGCATATTGTCTGTGTATGTCTCTGTCACCTTTTGAAATCATCCATAGTCACTGGAAAGCCTGGGATATTCTCCAACCACCACCCACGAACTACAATAGCTGTACGATGTTAATGACTTTTGGACAAATGGTGTGTTATTCATCTCATTGAAAACCACAGCGAGTCGTGACTGTCTTGTCTCCGTCTCATCATCATGTAGTGTCAGATTACACAACTGTCAAACCATATGTGTCCAATTCTGTTCAGTTTGTATGATGGAACTACTGCAAAACTGCAACTTTTTATTTTCTATTTTAGGTTATAATTTCCCTCGCGGCTGTGGAGGAAGTGCTCAACTTTGTTACTTAAGTAAAAGTACAGATACTGGTGTGAAAAAATACTCAAAAGTAAAAATATCACATCAACTGACTTTTTCGTTAGGGGTCCATCACCTGCTTGTTTCTATGGATTTGTCATTGCTCTGCCTGGAATGTCCCACAGTATGACATTAAACAGCTTTACTTTACATTTATTCAATTATAGGTGGATTTATAGCTCAAAAATACCTAGAAAAACATTAAAGCATTCTGACTGTAAGCGAGGCTGCCTCTCCACAGATCTGAACTGTAACTTGGTCTGGTTTGATCTCCATGAAGATGGAAAGGTTTAATATCATACTGTGAAATATTCCAGATAGCATTATTATCTTTATGGAGAAAAATATTTGATAGGCCCTCGTCCAGAAAAGTTACTCAATCCACCTTTAAATAAAACATATAGAGTATATGTTTAAAAATGTACTTAAGGAGTAAATACTATAGGTCATTTTACACATAATTTGACATCTTATGAGGCTTCAAATGTAGTGATTTTAATACAGATTTGTGCTGAATTTTGTTGAGTAGAAACAATTCAATCATTTTCTTTTTTCCCCCAGCTGTTTTATTTTGTATATTTTTGTTTGCTTCATTTTGGTATTTTGGTTTGCTTCAGTAGGTTTGTTTGTTTCAGTCCTGTTCAAAAACGCAGTGGAGCGGAAAGTACAGATACCTGCTCTCAAATGTGGTGAAGTACAAGTAAACAGCGTCCACTTTAAAATCTACTTATGTACAGATACCTAAAATTTATTCTTAAGTTCAGTACTTTACTACTTTTACTTTGTTACATTCCACCCCTGTTCCCTTGTATAATAGATTTAAGATTTAGATCATGATTACCCAAAATCTCAAGACAATTTTAGGACACCTTCTTGTAATTTTACTATTAATACAGAGAGTAATAGTAAGTTTACAGGTTACTCTTACCTCCTCATTTCCATGGAGATGTTGTTACTTTGTCCAGAATGGTTCACAGTACTGCATTAAACATATCGTCAAAAAAAACAAAATAAAATAACACCACCAAGCCAAGTTACACATCAGATCCGAGACGAGGCAACACTGCTGCACCTGTAATTGAATAAATGCAAAATAGATAACTTTAATGCTACGATGGAACATTTCAAGCAATACAATAACATCGCTATGGAACAGAAATAAATACATCAGATGATAGACCCTCTATAAGAAAAGTGACACAATGCACATTTAGCACTTGGTAGCATGTACCGACAATGCAATGAAAATGTAGCTTTGGGCTTTGGCTTGGGTGGTGTTGAATGGAAGGAGGTGAAGAAGGTGGTTCATGGTTTTGCGGTATCAGACAATGGAGGAGAGTGCATTTATATGAACTGGAGTTTATAATTTTAGTATCATGACAACACTATTTTGATACTGAGGACTAGACTTGATACCCAATACCGATACACTGATGAAAAAACTAATTTAGACAATATACTGTCATTTTCAACATCAAATCGTAGTACTTTCTTTTCTATTCTTATATCTTTAATCCCTCAGTGGTCCAGGTAGCTTTTAAACTTGTTCTGACACAGCTCAAGATCATTCTCAAGACATTCAGGAAAGCTAAGTATCGATACTTTGTCAAATAAGTATCTAGTTTCAGTACTAGTTTTGGTATCAGTGAGCATCTGATTTTCAGTAGTTTTGACAATTCTAATATGAGAGTGGACTGGATGAAAAGAAAAGTAGAGATGCACCGATCTGATACCGGTATCAGATATTGGTGCTGATACTAAACAAAATCAGCCTGAAATATTTGTTATTGTTATTTTGGTTGAGAGTCCATAAAGTCTCATAATGTAACAAAACTTCTATTTATACAAATTTATTCTGTAGTTCCCATAGAGATACATTTGGATCAGTCTTTTATTTTATTGTTTTGCCTTAAGAAAAAATAAAAGTCTCTGCTGTGGTATCGGTTGGTATCGACTTAAAGCTATATCTGTATCGGAACTGAAATAGCTGAATCGGTTACCATAGTTACCATAGAGATAAATAACAGCCGTATTACACATTTTGATCAGTCTTTTTATTTATTTTTGCCTTAAGAAAAAATAAACGTTTCTGCTTCAGTTGATATCGGGTATCGACTTAAAGCTGTAGTATCAGAATCGATATCGGACCTGAAAAAGCTGGTGCATCCCTAAAAAGTACCTGGCTGTGACGGCAACAGACGGGTGACACGAGGCCACTTGAATAACCTCAGAGAACCTAACAAGAAATAAATTAAACCAGGTATGTTAACACACTGAGAATAAGTAACAGTGAAATTACCTTTGTTCAGACACAAAAATTGTTAATAAATGATTCACGGCTCTGGTTTAAATAAGGTGAGGATGATAACAATACATGAGTCAGATTTCTCAGCGCGGTCCTGGAGATACAGATCTTTCAGCTCCGTTAAGCTCTGGTGCAGTTATGACTGTCAAATTGTCAGCAGGGACATTTTTCTTTTTTGTTTGTCTTTTCCTAATTAACCATCCTGTTTCTCGTCATGAACAATGTCACCCATTCGCCACACTGCGCTTATTAGCCAGGATTTATTTCAGGTCGGAGCCAAATGAGAAGTGAAAATGACAACTCAAGCTAACCTCTGTATTAGGTTGTGCATGACTGGCTCCTCTCGGCTGCTCACACAATCGCGCAGGGCTTTCATATGAGGGGATCTGTAATATGGAGCTAATTGAAATGCCATGTTTTTTTCTCTGTTTTTTTTTAGTTCTGGATGTCAGCTCTGGCCACTACCATCCCAGTACCCTGTGGAGCCTTCATGCCAGTGTTTGTCATTGGTAAGTTAAGATCAAAACATTTACTTATTTACTTTTTCTCTTCTTTTCTTATTTGTTAAAGGTACTTATATTACTCTATTTCCCCATATTACTCTATTTTCTCATCAAAAACTTACCTGGAGTTGTGTTTGTTTCATTCACCCATATTCAGTGTTGGGGAGTAACAGATTACATGTACCGGAGTTATGTAATCAGAGTACAAATTATGAGTAACTGTATTCAGTTACAGTTACTGTTTCAATGAGTGGTAACTGGATTACTGTTACTTTGTTGAAATAAATGGATTTTTTTTTTCTTTTTTCGAATAAATTCCACTCACTGCCGGAAACTAAACCAGGTCTAAACTAGATCTAAACCAGGTCTAAACCAGGTCTAAACCAAGTCTAAACCAGAACTAAACCAGGACTAAACCAGGACTAAAACCAGGACTGAACCAGGTCTAAACTAGATCTAAACCAGGTCTAAACCAGGTCTAAACCAGGACTGAACCAGGTCTAAACTAGATCTAAACCAGGTCTAAACTAGATCTAAACTAGGTCTAAACTAGATCTAAACCAGGTCTAAACCAGGTCTAAACCAGGTCTGAACCAGGACTGAACCAGGTCTAAACTAGATCTAAACCATGTCTAAAACTAGAACTAAACCAGGTCTAAACCAGGTCTAAAGCAGGTCTAAAACCAGGTCTAAAACCAGGTCTAAACCAGGTCTGAACTAGATCTAAACCAGGTCTAAACCAGGTCTAAACCATGACTAAATCATGCTGCGTGGAAGTGTCTCCTCCTCTTCTATCAATAATATTTTTAATACAGTTCAGTAAAGTCTGGGCTTTTTATTTTCTTTTAGCAGACAAAACATTTTATGTTACAGTATCCTAGTCGTTGCTTCTCTACAGCAAATCAAGTAATCCAAAGTATTCAGATTACGTTACTAACCTAAAGTAATTTAATGGACTACATTTTGGGGTATGTAATCTGTAATCTGTAAGAGAATACATTTTAAAAGTAACCTTCCCAACACAGCCCATATTTGACACACAACCCCTGCAGATTTAGGCGGAGTTCTTTTCTCAAATAGAAAACACACTATGTTATAACGTTGTTTCCCCATCACAAACATATCTGGAGTTGTGTTTTGTTTCATTCACACATGTTTTACACACAAATCCTACATATTTAGTTATTTTTTCAAAATGAAACCACTGTTCCACCTTGTGATGTCACGAGGTAATACAGGAAGTGTGCCACTGTGCTTTTAAACCCCACATGCCTTCACTACAATCATTTGGATGGTTTAAACTCTAGAATTGACTGTCTCTACTGAAGTAAAGGAAAAATGGAGTTGTCAACTTGAAAACTACCAGTTCATCACATCACAAGGTAGAACGGAGCATTTTGAGCTTTGAACATGTAGACACACTAATAATAAAGTGTGTAAATGAAACAGAACACAGCTGTAGGTATGTTTCTGATGAAGTAGCAACATTATAATATGACTTTAAAGTTCACAAGAGTCCATTTTGCATAATATAGGACCTTTGAACCATAACTGGAGTTGTGTTTTGTTTCATTCACACGTTATTAGTCTGCCGACATCTCCAAAGCTCAAAATGTGATGGAATGAGGCAGTAGTTTTCAAGTTAACAGCAATTTCAGGACTAAAATGATCCAAATGATTCTAGTGAAAGTGTGTGGAGTTTAAAAATACAGTGATGCACTGTATTACCACATTTTATCATAAGGTAGAACAGTGTTTAAGTATGCAGGGTTTGTGTTAAAGATTGTCAATGAAAAAAAAAAACACAACTCCAGTTATGTTTGCGATAGAGAAACGACATTATAACAGCACAGCACACATGCACTTTTCACTGAATTTCTACTTGAAGGTCTGGAGATTTTAACTACCAAGGTTCCCATAACAAATAAATGTGTGTAATAAGTAATATGTACTTTGATTTAAAATTTCGAGCTGGCATCATGTTTGCAGGTTCTTCCAAGGCATGGAACTGTTGCAAAGATTACATTTGCTACATGGTGACCATATTACGGAAGCCAAGAGGGGTCACAACAAACGCAGATGCTGCAACAAATACAAATGCTACAACACAACAAAAAGCCACAACAAACCAAAAAAAGCCACAACACACCAAAAAAAGCCACTATGGAAATGACCGCGAGACTCTATTTTAATGCAAACGCCGCAACAAATACAAACAAAACAACACAAACGCATATGCCGCAACACATTAAAAAGCCACAACACATCAAAAAGTCACAACGGAAGTGACCGTGGGACTACACAGAAGAAGAACTACAACGTGAAACGAATAATGATAAAACAATAAATTACTTTTACTTACGTTTCCAACTTCTCCTACTTTTCATGTTGTAGTTCTTCTTCTTCACTTGCCGCTTGATCGGTCCGTCAGAAAATAGAGTCCCGCGGTCACTTCCGTTGTGGCTTTTTAATGTGTTGTGGCTTTTTAATGTGTTGCGGCTTTTTAATGTGTTGCGGCATTTACATTTGTGTTGTGGCGTTCGTTTTTGTTGGGGCGTTTGCATTAAAATAGAGTCCCGTCGTTATTTCCGTTGTGGCTTTTTTGTGTTTGTTGTGGCTTTTTGTTGTGTTGTTGCATTTGTATTTGTTGCGGCGTTTGCGTTTGTTGTGACCCCTCTCGGCTTCTGTGCCATATGTAGTTAGAAAAAAATAATCTGAAATACATTTTTTCTTGTAATACCCCACTATATAAATAATTATTTTAAAGTCTGTGTTTTTGAAATAACACTGTATACGTTTCTGGAGTCTAATTCCAAGGAAATAAAAAGTTAAAACAATACTTCATGGAGAAATATGCCTTTTACTGGAGAGTATTGTAACAAAAAGAACATCCTTTTGCATAGAGACAAAGTAATGAAGGCCTGTCTCCTAGCCCAAATAATAGTCAGGTTTGTGGCGATGCAAGCCCACTCAGTGATTTTTGAACTCTTTGCTGCAATAAAACAGTCTAAAATGAGAATAAAAAAGATATAAAATGATTTTTGGCTAACTAGTTACAGAGCGGGTCAAGTTTGAAAAGTGAAAGATGGATATCATGATTGACTTTTGTACGTTTACACACATTGCAAACTATTGACATGCATCAGTGGTTTGGTCCCCAGTATATTTACACGTCTCTGTGTTTGTGTGACCAGTAGCAGACATGTCCATTTGGTGTCTGAGAGGAGCAGAAGTGGAGTCTGTAGAGCTGATCTGAGACTCTGGTGTTTGTTTGTTCCAGGGGCGGCGTTTGGGCGTCTGGTGGGTGAGAGCATGGCAGCCTGGTTCCCAGATGGCATTCACATGGACGGCACCATCTACAACATAGTGCCAGGAGGATACGCTGTCGTGGGTAAGTTGGAAACAAGATTGTGTTTTAGTGTTTACCCAAAATGTCTCCAAGGAATTTGGCCAAAGCTACTGTAGATGAAAATAACTGTCACTTGTTTAAAGATGCATTATGTAACTTTTCAGTTGGGGGTCCGTCACCTTCTTGTTTCTATGGAAATGCCATTGCTCTGCTTGGAATGTTCCACAGTATGACATTAAACAGATCTAGCTTACATTTATTCAATTACTACTGGTTTTACTGCTTCAAAAAAACATTCTGACTGTGGGCAGGGTCGCCTCTCCACAGATCTGACCTGTAACTTGGTCTGGTTTGTTCTCCATGAGGATAAAAAGGTTTCATTCCATACTGTGAAGCATTCCACATCCTCATGGACAAAAGCACATGGCAGACCCTCCACCAGAAAAGTTATACAATGCACCTTTAAAAATGCAAAACCATGTAATATTTTGGAAATTCATGTTTTTCATATTTTCTCTTCCAACAAAACAAACAAACAAACAAGGGCGGCAATGGTACTCCAGTTTGCAGTAGGTTAGCTGAAACTTCACTCAGGTAAATGCTGTTGTTGTGTCTATGCGCAAGACATCCAATTTGAGTTCTGCAGTCAAAGTAGTGCCAGACATTTCATCAGAAATTTTGTTTTACAAATTTTATGCTGGGTGATATGGAGCAAAAATATATATCTCGATATTTTGTGCTGTATCTTGATATCAGTAGAGGAAAAATAATCCCCCCAAAACTACTGCAAAAACAAATATGCCAAATTCCACAAGGTCTTTTTTTATTGAAGTGCAAAGTTCATGTAGGAACAAACTGCTTCTCCGACATAAAAAAAAAAACCCCAAAAAAAAAATATATATATATATCCCTGGAGGATGGGGGAAACCAGAGAACCCCAAGAAACCAGGGAGACACAGGGAGAACATGCAAACTCTCCACAGAAAGGTCAACCCTTTCTGCTGCTGCACTCAGCCACCATGCCAACCATGGTGTTGTAATCCACTATACATTATGGGAACAAAGTATTAAAGGGCTCATATTACACTATTTTCTGATCTATTATAATGCTGTTTCTTCATCACAAACATACCCGGAGTTGTATTTTGTTTCATTTTGGTTCATTAACTAATTGAATTATTTAAGCTGGGTTCTACTCTGTTCCACCGTGTTATGCAATGTGGTATTACAGGAAGCGCTCCACTGCATTTTTAAACTCCATACACCTTCACTAGAATCACTGGGATAATTTCAGCCCTGGAAGTGTCAATCTCTACTGAGCAAAAATAAAAGGTCTTAACTTTAACTTGAAAACTCCCACTTCATGACATCACAAGGTGGAACGGAGCATTTTGAGCTTTGGAGATGTAGACAAATGAATAGTGCAGGATTACTCAAACATGTGTGAATGAAACAAAACACAACTCCAGGTATGTTTTTGTTGAGATAACAACATTCTAACATGGCTTAAAGCTCTTAAGAGTCCATTTTGCGTAATATAGGACCTTTAACAAAACATTTATTTTTACTTTTTGTCTAAGTTTAACTATATACAGTAGGGATGTAACAATAACCTGAATATCGTGATATCGTACCGTGAAAGTTCTCTTAATAATATCGTGGGCCATCACAATATATTGAATTACAAGTCTCTTTGCTTAAATTAAGAGTTATGGTGCAGCAATAGCTAAAAAAAGACAGAGGGAACTACATAGACCATGATCCTTTGCTCCATTTCAGTGTAGACTACAAGAAGAAATAACAGTTCTAAGCACTTTTAAGTCTTAGCTCTTTGGATTAAGTCTTGTCAAGGCATTTTAAGACGAAAAAGTAACATATTCATATTAAAATATTGCAGTAAATATCATACCGTGAGATGGATATCGTGAAAATATCGTACAGAGAGATTTGGATATTGTTACATCCCTAATCGTGAGCCTCCCCACCATATCATGAGCTTTCCCACGATATCGCAATATCGTACCGTGAGGTTCATACTGTGACAATATCGTATCATGAGACTTGAATACTGTTATACCCTTAGTATACAGAGTCAAAAGTAAAAAAATTGCAGCGTGTGGGCTCTGTCAGTGTCTTGCTTCCGTCTTGTGTAACCAGCTCTGAGTTGCGTGTCTACAGTCACTCTGATTAAACTCCCGTTACAGACCGGAGCAGGCAGTGTTTGGGGGGAGCGCTGTGATGTTGTTTTGATGTAGCTGATGACTAAGATTTTTCCTCCATCTTCGCATCTTTCATGTGGAGCTGGCTTTAAGCACTAAATGTCAGACCGGGGAAGCAGATGCCATCTTAATTAAAATACTGGGAAGAACAATGCTTTCCCTGCCTCCGCCACGCGCCTCCATTTTGGTCTGACTTGATTATAGACTTTCATTGCCGTGTGTCTTATTCTAGTGGTATTGAACTCATCTGTTTTCAGCAATCACTTCTTCTCCCCACGCGGCGCTACTGTTTTTTTTTTTTCATAGCGATTTTCACTTGCCTTATTGGACAGAAAGAGATGTGAAAATATTGAAGTTCTTTGGATTAAATTAAGTGAAAAGTAGATTTGTGCTTTATATGTTTTAAGAGGCTGAGGAGTGAAGCGATGTTATTATATAGGGGACGGGGACTGGATCACAAATTCTGTAGCATTTCAAGACAGAGACCAGTGTTTCCCACAGGTTTATAAGACTATGCTGGCACAAATCATCCATGTTTGAATGATTTTATTTTATGGTGCATTGTGAAACTTTTGTGGCTCCTGTAATGTTCCACAGTACAGTATTAAACTTGTCTATTTTTCATTTATTCTTTTACATGTGTTTTATCGCTTAAAAATACCTTGAAATGCAGGCAGTCTTACGATACACTGATGCAGCTCTTATCTCTTTACAGATCTGATCTGTAGCTTGGCCTATTTTCGTTTCTGCTCAGACAGATGAGTTTAATGCCTTTCTGTTTTCTAGAATATTCTAGGCAAAGCAATAACAGCCCCATGGAGACAAGCAGGTGGCGGACCCTCCACAAGAGAAGTTAAACAATGTTAGCCAGGCTGGCGCCACCTATTGCCTCCACTCAAGTTCATTTCTCTCCAGTGAATAGGTCAGGAATCAGAATACACTAGACAGTTTGTAAGAACTCCAGAAGTGCCAGTCCGGGCACCATCCAATCAACGAAGAGCCAGACATTCTGTGTTGGCAATGATTCTCGAAATTGAGGATTTAAAGCCAGAACAAAGAGAATGTTTGGTGAATTTTATCAAGGGGAAAGACATTATTGCCCTTATTATACCAGTTAGCCCCATTAGCGGCGCATTACATACGTCACAACCAAATAGCAGTCATTAGTTAAATAAAAGCTCGAGGGTAGTACCCATCTACCTTCGAGCGAACAAATCCTAATGCTATGAGGTCAGACAGTTTCCACGAAGTGAATCCGGCTGATGAATCAGACTAACACAATGCACCTTTAATACAATATTTTGCTGTATAAATGTGAACAAAAAAGCACTTGTTACAGATAAAAAAGTGACTTCTATATGTTGATGAAAACACTACAAGCATAAAGTATGATTCGTTTTTACCAATTTTTTGCTCAGCCAGTTCTTAGACTGTGGGGGTGAAAATTGGTCTACAGGGGCCACCATAATCTCCTCTGAAATCTTCATCTTCAGTGTTTTCCAATGATAAAAGCTTTAACTGTTACAGATATCAGGGCATTGTCACTTATCATCATCATCATCATCAATCAGTTATTTCTGGATCTTATATCAATATAGCAGAATACCCTTATGCCTGCTTGTCTTTCTTGGATTGTTTCACACTATGGCATTATAGATGTATTCATCTCCATGGAGACAAGCAGGTGAATCCACCAGGCCATGTCATGTCACAAACCGGGTCTGTGAAGAGGCAATCCCACACCACACCTTTAATTTAATGCCATATTGTGGAACATTCTGGACAAAGACACCACTTTTAGGCAAGCAGATGGCAAATGGTGCACCCCTAACAAAAAAAGTTACATATTGGAAGTTTTTTTTTTTTAACCTTTATTTGAACAGAATAATACATTTAAAAAAAGACAGCAGTTACATAACATAAGTAACATAAGCTTATAGTTCTTTATAGTATGTCTTATGTAGTTGATTACTGATTGAGTGGTACAGTAGCACCACATGATCATGGTCAAGAACACATTTCATAGAAGACCAAATATCTCAGTCCACCCCGACTCCCCTCTGAACCACACTTTGCTTCATTATAGCTTGACTCCTCTTCCCCTCTCCTTGCCCTCCCTCACCTTCTCCCCTGTGTCTCCCTTTAGGTGCTGCGGCCCTGTCTGGAGCGGTCACCCACACGGTCTCCACGGCGGTGATTGTGTTTGAGTTGACGGGTCAGATTTCTCACATCCTCCCGGTGATGATCGCTGTGATCCTGGCCAACGCCGTGGCTCAGGCCCTCCAGCCCTCTCTGTACGACTCCATCATCAGGATCAAGAAACTGCCCTACCTCCCCGAGCTCGGCTGGGGACACCACGAGTACGTACAATAGCTCACTGCTCCGTTTTTGTAATAACGTAGTGGCAGAATTATAGAATTACAGTACAGAAACATGGTAAAAGCAGCTCTTAGGGTTAAAATGTCTGTGTGCTGTCTGCGTCTAATTATTGATACTTTGCAGTGACATCATTCATGCTGGGAGTGTTCTACATGTTTCTCTATTGGCAAAATGTTCATCAGTTACCATGGTGACGCAATGCATATGTTTGCAAATACTGTCAAAAACTTTTTACGAGAAAAAATACAAAATGGATTTAAACTGCAGATTTTCAGTGATCAGTATGAGCTTTCATGGTCCTGTTTAGGTAGGAGTTTGATTTGCAGTAAAATAGGGTGACCAGATGTCCTCATTTACCCGGGACAGTCCCAGTTTTGAGCCATGTGTTCCCTGTCCCAGCAGATTTATACAAAACCAGTGATTTGTCCCAGTTTTATACCAGAAACATCCCAAGTGTCCCTATTTTTGACCAATTTGATCAAAACCGGAACTAAATTAAGATTAAACCAGGACTACATCAGACCCTAACCAGGACTAAAACAAGACCATCACAATTTTTGCCTAATCTGATCCCTGCCAACAGTAAAGAGGATCATAAATTGTCATTTGTTTAGCCAAAATACAGAAATCCATATTTGCAAATGACCTTAAATAAAAAAAAAAAAATGCAGTGACAAATCCTTCAGATCGTGATAATGTTTCACACTCTTTTCACAATTTTATTTATACTAACAATCCCAAACCGGGTGTGTCCCAGTTTAGAATTTTGGAAATCTTGTCACCTTAATTTAAACTGTATTTTTTCAGGAGCCTGTGATCACTATGAGCGTTCATGGTCATGGTCAGAGCGACTAAGTGGGAAAGCGGTTGTGACTGGAATTTTATGTGTGAGAGACTTGTTTAAGAACACAAATATCTCACCTGTTGTAGTTCCATCTAGGTCGGTCTTTTCAAGGTCAGATTGCGTTGAAGTGATTAAAGTCGAATTTCTGTAACAGAGCTTTAGACGGAGCCTCTGAAAGTTGTGAAAAGATCTTATAAACTCATTGTGTTGAATAGTTTGTGAATCGATTGTAGGATTGTGTTGTGTTGTCGCAGTCCAAAGTTCCTGGTGCTGTTTTTCATGTTTTTAAAAGAGTAAAAAAACACCTCTACAGTATATTCCATTTTCTTTTTGACATTTCGTACAGGGCCAAAACAATGAAAGTAGTGGTTTGTTAAGTGAACCAACATGGGTGGCAGGGGCTCAGTGGCATTTGCCCTAATCCAAAAGTTGGCAGTTGAATCCCAGCTCCAGTCAGTAAATACTGCTGTGTCCTTGGACATGAAACTCACCCTGAACTTACCCCGTGTCTCATTTCTCTTTCCTCGCTTCCTTCTCCTTGATTCCTCTCCTTGATTGTGCAGGAAATGGGTGAGGAAGTCTCGCCCACAGAGGAGACACAACAAGGAGAGAGGATATACAGTAAACTCCTCACTGAGACCAAGAAAGTTTGATTCTTTTATCTGATGTCTGCCTCCTGGAGCCTCCCTCATGTTTACTCCTTCTTTCTGTGGTTTTCTTTGGCACACATTTGATTGACAGCTGAAAATGGAGGATCGAGGAGAGGAATCAAGCAGAAGGAAGTGAGGAAAGAATTGAGACGTGGCCTATGTGGTGTGTTATTACTATTATTTGGTTGCCATAGAGTTAAAGCCGACCAGATACACTTAGGATTCAGCAGCGTTGCCCAAACCCAAAAGCTGTAATGTTCAACCAATAATAATAGTATTTTTTTTTAGAATGTTGGGATGTAACAGTAACCGAAATATCTTGATATTGTATTGTCAAATGGCTCACCATAGTATCATGGGGTGTCACAATATATCGAATCACAAATTCCTTTGCTTCAATGCATTGTTGTACAGCTGCAAAAGCTAATAAGCATTGGGAAATACATATCCCATGATTCATTTCAGTGCAGACAACATTTAAGTAATATGTTTTTTACTTGAATTTTTGGGATTATGACAGTAATAATTCACACCAAAATCTTGTCAGGGTATTTTAAAAGCACAAAAGCGACAATTATATCTACAATTATATCAGCCTTTCCAAAATATCGTACTATGATATCGTGATAATATCGTACCGAGAGATTTGGATATCATTATACCCCTATTAGAATGTTTTAATTTTGTATATCACATATTTACATACACAGATTATTAATAGTGTAGAACACAATAAATCATCAGACAAACCAAATAAAAGGTGGGCAAATAATAAAAAAATAAAATAGGATTCCATCAAGCAAGTGACATTTGCAAAGATGTATAAAAAAATTACATTTGTTTAATATTTTGGATTTAGATTTAGGATTTGTTTTGATTTTAAGATTTCCACTTTTTCCAGTACAGTTCTCCAGTATCTGAGGATTATCTCAAGGAAAATGCTATTCGTTCCATAAGCTGAATTTTGTTGATTATCTCTGCCCATTCTGAAATAGTAGGAGGTTTGTCCTGTAGCCATTTTCACATAATCGCCTTCTTGCTGGCTGCTTGTAGTATCTGAAGAAGGTATCTGTCTTTTTTTTTTTTTTCAGCCCAGTTGGTGTGCTTCCCAAATAAAATACACTAAGATTTTCTTCCAATTGCAGTTCTGTAATGAGTTTAATGTTTTTAATGATCTCTGTCCAGTAAGGGGCAATCTTGGGGCACTGATAATTGTAATTTTTTAATATTATGTGTAGTAGATTTACACTAGTTCTGAATTCTAAAAATATTCAGGAGAAGTTCAATTTGATCCTATTTGTGATTTTGTTTTAGTAACAACACTATACTCAAATAAATATCTACTACGTGCTATTAGTACTAGTAGTAATAATAGACAACCCTATAATGATAAACCTTTAAGAAAACAAAAATTTGCATGTGAGTTTTTGTATTTACAGTTTTCATTGCGCCACCATTTTGTGAATTGGGACTGAAAAGTGGGGATAATAGCAGTAGTTTTCATGTTGGTAAAATTTTTTTTAAAATCCGCCGCTCGATCAGAGGTGCTCATTTTTGTTATGATGATGTTTATCGCGACATCAGCACCGCAGTTTTCTCATTTGGATGTCAGTGTACTTGTTTCTTTCTTTTCTTAAGTTCTTTTAGATGAATATTGAGATTTTAAATGTCCGAATTCTAACCTAATGACCCACCAGTGTCACAGATTATAATTATAAAGCAGACACAAGTGCAATATGTTTTCTTTAAGGTTGGTTCCATGTGTTTACCTAGTACAAAAACACTAAATACTGCGATATTCATTATAATAGGCTCAGTATTAGACATTGCACACAACTTTTTATTACCATCTGCAGCCTTTATTTTATCTGCTTTATGTGCGTATGCAGTTTCATCTTTTTATTGATCCAAACCAAACTCAAATGTATTCTCCTCTACCTCAGCAACATCCAGATGCTTAGAAAGCACAGAGCACACATTACATAGGCTAATAAAAGGCAATAAAACTGGAGGCCTATATAATGTGCTGATATAGACCAGCATCTCTAGTGGGCTGCAGTTTCATGTGATTACCTGCAAACATGTTACTTTTTTGTGGGGGAGTCAGCAAGTCCCATCCACCAAGCTTTCTCATCAAATTCAGCAAATCTCTCCTTGGGGTCCACTTAGTTTGACGGAAGTGAGAGGAGCATAGTTTTCGAGGTGCATCATAATAAAGTGGCTGTGTGCTAAACCTGAATGTGATCCTCACTTTTCAGTCCCATCAGCACTCTAGCACGCTCACTGTGTCTCAAAGCTAACAGTCACTTTAATTAAAATCGTAAAATGTAAAATAAACAACCTATTAAAATTCCAATTCATTAAAATAAAGACTACCCAATTATTTGTATATGTAGAATACTTCAGTTTGTGGAGTTAATACTGTATTTATTATGCCTCAACCATAGACTGAAATGAATATGTAAATGGACATAGCTAACGCGCTAGCCACCACATTCCAAACAGGAAGTTCACATGCGGCTCTTCCGGCTCCTACTAACTCTAGCTCCCATTGACTTACATTGGAATATTATCACTTCTTTTTCTGTAACTGCTGCTGTGGTGGTCTTAAAATGTTCGTATTATCGCTCTATGATCTTGTTTTTTTTTTTTTTTTTTTTTTTTGTTTGCTATTTTGAATGTCCAAAAAAATAAATATTTGTGACGACACTTAGGCTGCATTCAGACTGCAGCCTGAAGTGACCCAAATCCGATTTTTTGGCTTCTATGTGACCTGTATCTGATATTTTAATGACAGTCAGATCAGATTTTTTCAAATGCGACCCAGGCCATGTGCTCCTGAAACCGATACATATCCGATCTTTTGACATGCGATTTCAGTGTGAACGGCCAAAGTGCATTAATTCGACCTAAATGTTATCAACAAGCCACAAACGTCACTATTCTGCGCTGAAGTAGGCGAAAATTGTTAATGAACTCCATGTCACTGAAGCGAAGCACCTCGCCACTCACCACTCTTGGCTACGTCTCCACATCCACACGTTCCTTTCAACAGACGTCGCTGCCGCTGTCCCACAAAACACCACGACCAAAAACCTTGTCCTTCTCCTTCTCAATCTCCTCCTTAAAACAAGTAAGTTGTACATGTTCTGACTCCGGTACGAGAGGAACTTTAAAATCTCCAGGTGCTCAATGCTCACGTCCATGTTTGAACAACTTCCGTAAACACAGAGCACGCTCGCTGCGGTTGACGTCGTCGTGTCTCCAGTGCACATGCGGGACACTTTCGGGCCGTTTAACGTTCACACAGGGGATCACATACAAGTCGCATTTAATTGGAAATGTGAACAACCTCTCAAAAACATCGGATTTCACAAAAAAATTGGAATTGAGCGTTAAGCCCTGCAGTCTGAACGTAGCCTTAGTCCACTTTTTTAAACAGTCTGTGGCCTCAGTATTAGCATTAGCATCGAGGCGCAAACATCTC